ATTCTCCAAAGGCCCCTCATAACCCTGCTTCCCACCCCACGTCACCTGACAGAGCTTGTTGTGGGGCCACTTGTCTCCCCTGCCACAGAGCGAGGACTCACAGCGCTCTGGATGGGTTGATGCAGGCTCTGATGAGCCAGCAATGATGACAATGCTGCCATCACCATGGAGGAGAAGCAGGCTGGCATGACCCCACACCTGCACCACAGCCAGCCAGGCACTCCAGGTCTTTGTGACATGGTAGTTGTTCCAGAAGGTCCCAACCCCATGAAAGGCATGAGGCATGAGCTAGCATCACCCTGCTTGTCACCATACCTGGAAGGGGAAACATCTGCCACTGTGTGGGGCAGGTACCGGTCAGGGGGAGAGCCACCTGTGGCAGAAAGATGGCTCCAGCCCACGACACACCTTGCTGGGGATCATGGCAAGGTAGCAGCTAATCCAGTGGTCAACATCCCACCAGAGCCCCTAGGAGCCACAGACACCTGTAGAACTCCTCCAGTGAGTAAGCAAGGAGGGCTTCCTTGAGGCAGCTGTGGAAAGCAGGATGATGGCACTCAGCCATGGCAGCAGGAACATTATGGGAAGGAGGTGAAGGGAAGTGGAGGGCCAAAGCCCAGTGCTGAGTTAGGTTCAGATAGCGCTGCCTTCCTTGAGCCACTGATCCCCTCTGATTGTGAAATGGACGCTGGGGCCTGGGGCAGGGCCTCTTCCCCCTGCCCTTATCTTTGCTGCTTCCTACTCCTCCAGGACTGTGCCCAGGCAGTGGTAGCCTGTGCAAAATGAAGTTGGGAAGCTCTGGGGCTAATTAATTATTAGCTGCTGGTAATGCTGACTGAGCTCCCAGGGACTCCAAGGCTGGAGCAGAGGAGAAAGTGCAGAAAGATACTAGAAAATTACTGTTCAATTCTTCAGCATTGTACTGGAAAATTACTGTTTAATTCTTCAGCATTACATCTGACTACATGGCATCTGGTAGATAAGGACAGGAAGAGGCTGATGATGAGCCAGCCATTACAGCAGCTCTGCAGGCTTTCTCCTCCTCAGCAGTTGGGGCAGCCAGGGCCCTGGAGGGCTGGCTCCGGCCCTGGTGAGAGTTCAGGGTCCGGTTGGATGCAGGTCCTTGGGCCCGTGCTGCCCATGCCTGGCCCCACAGCTGTCAGTACTCCTGCTGAGTGTCACAGCCAAGGAACTCTATCCGCAGGGCAATGTGGTTGTGCCACTGGCGGGGGTGTATCCTCACATAGCGGGCAAAGAGAGGGGGCTCCAGAGTATTCATCACTGTGCTGGTGTAGTCTTGGTTTGCCTTGAAAATCTGGAGAGGGGAGAGAAATCAATCAGGGATATGCTTTCTGCTGGTATAATAAGCGCATGACTTGAGGACATGATCAGCCCAGACAAGCACAGCCTGGCTCACTGCTCTTGCAAAAAGTCCCGTGAGCATGTTTGCTGCCAAGGACTGTGCTTGCTGCCCTGGGGTGGCCATGGGCTGCCCCTGGCTGTGGAGCAGCTCTGCCTACCTTCTCCTTGCCATCCTGCAGGACCAGGCTCCAGTGCATGCCATTCTGGCTGCTAGAGACAGCAAACTCCTTCACAAACATGTGGGTGAAGACAGCTTTGGCACCTTGGGTTATGATTGCAGTCACCTTCTTGGTTACTTCAAAGTCCACCTGCAACCACTCTCTGGGGCTGTTGCTCTGGGGAAGGACAGACTACCTTCAACCATTCAGCAACAATGAGAAAGATGTTTGTTGCAGCTGAAGCCAAGCTGGCCCTGCACAGAGTCCTGGGCATCACCTGCCCTACCAGGTGTCTGGTTGGAGCTGCTGGGTGCTAAATTAGTGAGGCAACTCTCCTGCCTGTGTGCCAGCAGCTTGCATGGTGCACGTGGCTGTACATACTCCCCACACAGCCCTGGCTGGGAAAGGTTGCAAGCACCCAGCCTGCCTGCTTGGATCTCACCTGCCTGCCCATGCCCCAGCTGCCTGCCTGGGGATCTCCTTGCATGGGCTACCTTTGGCCTCCATGCGTTCGTCCTCCCCTGCAGGTGCAGGCGGGCCTGCGAGGGTGACCAGCTGGAGAAGATGTTGGTGCTGTAGGAGGACGCGGAGATGCGCTGGTCAGGGATCCCTCTGTTCTCCATTCCTAGGGGCATGAAGCAGCCTGGAAGTGAGAAGTGATTTTTGTCAGAGCGGGGAATGCGCCCATCATGGAGATGCCTTCTGGCTGCTCACTGCTCCAGCTGCCCTCAATGCACTTTCCCTGGTTACAGGTTCTCCTGTGCCTTGCTGCAGTGCCATGGTCCCTGCACTGCTCAGGGCCCCTGTGTGCAGCGTGGCTTTGTCTGGGGAGTGCCAGACTACACCTGCCACTAGTCCCACTTTCTTTTCTCCTTAGAGATTTCATCGAGGAGGAATGTGAAGAATTTGTGCATCTGCCAGGACATAAGGAGAACCTGTCTCCAGGGGAAGGACGAGAATACCTGGCAGGGAGACACCCTGTGCATGTGCACAGCTGCCTCAGAGCCCACTGGCAGGTTTGTGGTATGGGGCAACAGCACAGCTGCTGCTGCTTGTAGCTGCTGGAGAGTCCACTCTGCTGGTGTGCAAAGCTAAAGAAAGGATCCCAGAGCACCACTGCCCCGGGTCACACTGTGGGCCAGAGCAGTCTTGCCTTGGAGTAGCAAAACCAGACGAAAAGCCAATAGCATCTGCCTCTGCTTGTTGCCTGCTCCCCTAGACTGAGGCAGCATCTCCTCAGCTATCAGCTTAGCTGCTGCTGGAGGTTTCTGGTGGTTCAGAAGAAAGTGGTGATAAGAGCTGGCCCCATGCCCTCCCCCTAGTATTGCTAGGTCTTAGACAATAAGATTTTCCAGCTTTGTTCCCCCAACATCTCAATGCCATTTTCCGCCTCCTCCTTCCCCCTCCACAACTGCCTGAGGAGTCCTGAAACATGTGGAGCTGGTGCTCAGCACCCCAGTGGATCAGGCCTTAGCTTTGGTGCTTGGTATCTGGAGGTGGGACATACTGTTCAGGTCACAGCCGATGAGCTCCATGCGCAGTGTGGTCCGGATGCTGTAGTGAGTGGGGTGGATGCGGATGTACTGGGCTATGATTGGAGGGTTGAAGTAATTTTCTTTCACCGTGGTTGCATCCACATTTGCAAAGAACAGCTGCAGGGAAAGGAAGAATGGTTGTTGCAGTGGAAAGAGAGCTAGGCAGGACAAGGATTAGTGGAGAGAACATTTCTGTCTGGCACTTTTATATCTTATCACCATCCTTACAAGAGAACGGCAGCTCAGGGAAATTATTTGAGATGTGATTCAGACAAAAGAAGTGTGAATGGGCAAAATCAGGGTGAACCACTGAGAAACAGGAGGAGAAACTTAGAGTCTGTGCAAATGAACATGTTTTTTGTATTTTCAATAAACAGAGGGGAGAAAAAGAAGGAAAAAAAAAGTCAGTCCTGGGACTTTTGAACCTGGGAAAAGTTTTGGCCACAGCTGGTGTACATGATGTAGGATTTTCTGGATACTTTTCTTCTCCCGCTGGAATGATCAGCTTCTGCAGATTTAGGTTGTGTTTTTTTCTAGTGAGTAGATAACCTCCAAATCATCTGCATCTGCACAATGTTTTTAGGAAGCCAAATTTGCCTTTGGGTCAAAAAAGATATTCAGGCAAAATCTTAAGCCTAGCTCTAAGTAAAACGGAACATAACTTTAAGTGATGGATCTCACAACCACCTGAGATCATGGAAAGAAATAGCTCGGTCAATTTAAAATGAGACAGATGGACACAGACAGCAAGTCACTTGCAGATCTGTGATCTGCAATTCAGTCATCCTGGCAGTGAATACTCACTGTTCCTGCCCTAATCAAATATCTCAGTGAATCAGGAGATTGTGGACAGAGCTCCCTAGCCCTCATCACCCCAAGAGACCCTGTTCTGGGAAGACACTCTCCTCAAGACCCGTTTGCCTTACCATCTGTGTGCTGGTGGCATTCCCCTTGTATTTCCTCCACCTTTGCCCATCAAGGCTGTAGAAGACAACAAACTGAGAGATGTAAAGGCTGGAGAACTTTTGTCGGGCCCCTTGGGTTTTTATGCCATGAATAATCATGAGATGCAAAAGATCCACCTGAGAACAAAAGTCAGGGATTCATTTCTGATGGAAAACCTAAGCCATGTTCAGGCAATGCACTGTAAACCTGTAGAACTTGCTTCCTCATGACGTGACTGAGTGCAGGTTATGAACGTAGTTAAAATAGTTGTACATAGGGGCACAAGTCAGCCAACAGCTGGGAGAGGGCAGGGAAGAGCTGTTTGGAGAGGTGAGCTGTGCTAACTTGTCTTTGGGGTTTTTTTGCACAATCTGATGCTGCAGCCGGACCATCAAGTGATTCCTCTGCTGCACTGAGGCTGAATCTGGGGGTCAGGCCAGCAGCGACCATGGCCAGACCAAGTGCCATTAGGATCTTAGAGCTCCTCTCCCAGATAGAAAGCAGAGGAAATAGCAGGACATAGCTGGGGAGACAATGGCCATCTGTGTGGGTCCTTCTGCACAGTGCATCAGCCACAGGGATGCCCTTGCAATGCCTCCAGCGGTACCTCCTGCCACAGGGGCCCTCTTACCTGGATCCAGGCGTTGCTGTGGTCAGTGCTCCAAGCATTGATGGAGCCGGTGTTATCCAGCCTGGCCAGGTAAGGAGCCCACTGCCCTACAAGGAGAGCACACAGATACGAGGATACTGCTGGCCCCTGGAGGTTCCCAGCCTGAGGTGGTGAGAAGTCCATCCACAGCATAGGGCCTGAGGATCACCCTAGGGTTTAGCAGCCATGTACAGGGTGGCAGAGTAGTGGCCTGATGGGCTAGATATGTGGGAAGGCACCTCCAGGTCCCAGCTGGGACACTGACAGGGGCATGGATGGAGGAAGATCTCTGCCAGAGACCCAGTGTAGCAGAGCCTTGGGCGGGCAAGCATGTGAGTTGTGTTGGCTGAAGCTGCCCCAACCTCACCTGCCTTCCTGGCAGCGACAACCCCTACTCACCATACTGCCCTGATGCTGTGATCTGAGAGTCTCCAATGTGGCCTGAGGTCAGGCCAAGGGCGTTTCGGCAGTCTGTAGCCAAACAGGGAGAAGGAGGGTGAAAATCAGGGATTAGATAATAAGGCTTTTGAAGGAAAAGCCTATGCTAGATAGCAGCCTCCAGGCTCAGGAAAGTTGTCTCAAGACTTCAGGAGCCCCCATGCTTGTTTGTTTCACACCAAGCAGTGGGTGTCAGATGCCTCGACATCCATCCCTGAATTCTAGGGGTACTGGAAGTTCTTGCTCCTGACCCGAATGTCAGCAGCAGAGACTTGCCAGCATCAGCCATAGCAGCCTCTTGCCAGACTCCTGTCCTTGAGTCCCTGACCTGACATTCCCATGTCCTGATCTCCCAGCAATGCTGACAAGTGTCTCTTCCCCATACTCACGTCTTGCTCCTGGGCCTTTTTGTTGCTACGCAGCATCTTTTAAAAACAAAATGTCATATTGCTAAAGGAAAGTCTGCCTGACACCCCTGTCTCTCTATGTCTCTCTTCTGGTCTGCTGAGCACAGGGCTGTTTGTCCCATAATAACCGTTATTACTGTTAGTGACTTGTCATATCTTGGCATCTCCATTTCATGGGGAAAATGTGAATTTGAAACCTTAAGCAGATTTTTAACTTGTCTAGCTCACGTTTAATACTCCTTTAGGAAGAGGAGAGAGACTGTCACTGTAATAAAATACTACTCACAAACCGCTTCCTCCAGTGCTTACTTATGGTAGAGGTAGTAACGTGTTATTCTGGGGTGAATGGAGCCAGAGGTTTCCTATGGATTTCACAGGTGCTTTTGGGGCTGTTTCTATCAGAGCAACCTGTAGTCACGCACTGTCGCTCACTGCCTCCTGCCATCACTCTGTGCCTCAGTTTACCTCTTGACAGCAGCTGGGTGCTGTACCTTTCTGACAGTGCAGGCAGGCACCAGTGTGTGCATTCAGTTGCTGGGGTAAGTGCATTTTATAGGAGGTCCAGGGACCCTCATTATTGGAAAACAAGAGCTCTGGGAACAAATATTTGCAGGCAAATGAAACTGGTCTTCCAGTGTTCACCCCAACTGTGTCCTTGACTCTGTGCTCTCTGCTGGGCTGTGTAGAGTGGCAAGGGCTGAAGTCATGACCTTCTTTCAGAGTGAAAACCCAGAAAACTCCACTTGGGCCACCCCAGGGGAAATGCTGAGAGACCTGAGGGAGGGAGCTTAAAACCATGCTGGCCATGGCCACAGCAGCAAGTGGGCCGGGGTGCAAAGAGGATCACTCACTCAGGTTGTACACGAGGAAGAGAGCACTCATCCCGGCTTGCTGGTGCTCTCCCACTTTGCACTCTACCCGCCAGATCCCAGCATGTGAGGGCCACATCTCCACTGTCCCAAAGACACCTGGCCGGGAATGGAGAGCAGAGCAGAGGGGAGTTACTTGCTGTAATGGGATGCTATGGTGCCAAACGCTGTGCAAACACAGAGCCAGACGCTTCGAGATTCATTCCCCCTCCTTGCTATCCCCCCGTAGGCTTGGCACTTCCTAATGGGCATGGACACGGACACAAAGCCCCGGCAGCTGGGGTGTGCACAGTGCTCATGCTGCGTCTCACCGGGATAAAGGTTGTAGACTCCCATGCGATACTCCTGGCTAGTCCTGACGCTGAACAGCTGCCCATGAAAATGGATGGAGTGAACATCCTCAGTGCTGCCCATGTTCAGGAGGTGCCATCGGATCCGTTGCTGCTGAGCCATCACCAGCCCAGGCAATGTGTCACTCACATAGCCGTTGATGGCTGGGGAAGGCAGCAGTCAGAAGCAGCACAAATCTCCAGGGCTTTTCCATCCCAATATAGATTGTGGAATGGAAAGGGCAAGGGCAAGGGTCCTCACCGTGGAAGGAATGGTTTCGCTTAAAGTCAGGGTTGTCCTGCTGGATGCGGCAGGGAGGGCGGCAGTTCCTCTCCATGTTCTCCGGGAAGTACCAGCTTTTGGTCTCATCAAAGATGGTGAAGAGCAGGGAGAACTCCTCCACAGCCAGCTGCCGTCTGAAAACGAAGCTCAGCACCCCATGGCGGCAGATGATCAATGGCCCAATGAGGCCTGAGTGCAGGTCCTTCTCCTGCCAGAGAGCCAGGAAAGAAGGGTTTGCAGACACCCGCAAGTGGCACCGCAGTGTGGAAGTCAGTGGCCCTGTCTGCATCCCTAGCCTGGCTCACACTTGTGCACAGGGCATGGCACATGCAAGGTGGGAAGGACAAGCTGTGTTCACTGGGGGATCCCCAGTCTGCCCCTAGCTAAAAAAAGCTGTGCAGCAAATGTTTGTGCATGCTTTCAAGAGAAGTGGTGTCTGTCTGTCCAACTGTCCCTACCCCACTAACATTGGAACTCATGGGCCAAATTCAGCCGGATTTGGCAGAGGGGTAGGGGACTGCAGAGTGCTAATTCCATACAAGTTTCATAAGCTGGTACAACTGGGGAAAGGGGGAAAAGAAAGAGAAGAGAAGAGAGGAGAGAGGAGAGAGGAGAGA